GGGACCTGAACTCATTCTCAGTCTTACGATAAAAAAAAGTTTTTTTTCTTTTTCTTTCGGATAAGAAATAGCTGAAAATATATGAAAAACTGATTATTTCCATGTAACGAATATTTGTACATTTCATTAATTCTATCATAAGTCCTGTGAGGTGAGCGTGACACTACGATAAAGAAAACTAAAGTTGACCAGGTAAACTGTAAGAATTCGTGTCTCCAACGGTCCGTGTCTTCGACCATAAATTTTGTTCAGAATAAGTATTGAGATCGTTGTTGATTTCAACACAATTGTTTCGTTTACGGTCCAAATGCAATCATAGACACATTGAATAAAGGAAATTTGATAACATCTGCAATTAGTTTTTTCTGCTGGCAATCAAAGAATAGTTTTGTATTTGGTTCTTTGTTTTATTGTAGTACAATAGTAAATAACATTTTTTTGGTTAATTGAAAAATGGAATACTTTCTTTGGCATCAATTATTTTGCCAATTAAAGTAATAGAATTTGAAGCGACGTTGGTTTTGCTCATTACTCCGAAATTCGCACCGACACCGCATGTTACTGAATAAATTTGGTTGCATTTAAAAATTTCGTTTCTTTTTTATAAGCGCGTGTTTCCTTATTAATAATTTCGTAATCAAATTCCAAACTTTCTATATATGTTGTATTTTGTCTTGTGTATACTATTTCATAATTACGCCGAGCAACCCCGTGGCTGGAACGGATTCAATCCGACAAAGTTTTATCATTACTATTAGTGCGATGACTTTCTAAAGCTCTTTGCAGACTTTAGACGATATCGAAACGGTTAAGAAAATGATTTTTTGAATAATGAATAAGATGGTAAAAATACTTAGGAAAGAAAGCTATTTGTGATTAGTACATTGAAATTTATCTCCGCAAATTTATTTGTCGTTTATTATAGTTGAATATATATTTTTTTTTGTATTTGGCACGTATTTATGTACTTTGTGTATTGTTTCTTGAGGCAAATTGCTGGAACTTTATGTGTCGAATTTAAAACTTTGAATATCCGAATTTTTGATATTAAGAAAAAAAAATTTTTTTAATTTAAAAATATATTTTAGTTATTTTTTTCCAAAAAAAATCGTTTTGTTAACTCAAGCAGAAAGTTTTTTCAATCATTCAATTCGGATGCTTATTTTACCCAAAAACTGCCATTTTTTGCATATTTTGCTCCGTATCTCCGAAATGGCTAGAACTGTTTTTGCGAAAAACTAATCACCACTTCTCCACATTATTACGAATTAAATGTATTTTAAATCACTCAAATCGGATGCTCCGTTCTCTCAAAAACTCGATTTCTATTTTCTGCACTCTTTTGCCAAAAACTAACCAGCACATCTCCCTATCAATAGGAATCGAATGTTTTTTGAACCATTCAAATCAGTTGATCCATGCGCCCGAAAACGTGGACGAAAAATTGTATCCATACATTTTTTCTAATGTATGCCAAAATGTTCAGAAACCTTCAAAACGTGAAGATATGCAAAATTTTCAATTTCGATTTTTGAACGATTACAATAACTTACCCTATGGGTCTTATTTTACTATGTTCAATAAATCAGACAATCCCTGAAGAAGTTTGAAGATCAGTTGTTCTGACAATACTCAGGAACATGTTCAGAATATAAATGCAATCATCGTATGTATAAAGTAGTAGAACCATCAGATAGAAATAATTATGTTGTGTTTAGAATTGATTGCTAATGCAAAACACGGAAATACCACTTTCGATTTTATTCAATTGATCGTACAGTACCGAACATGGTAAAGCTCTTCTCAAATCTCAACATCAAAACTTACATGTGAATAAAATTAAAATTATGCTAGGAAATTAATTTGTATTCTAGTTATTTCTAATAAGTATTTGGAGAATTGGTATTAAGAGGATTGAAACAGCACCATTATGATTCCACATGCAAAGTGTTTTTGGAACTATTTTGAATGATAAAATTAATTACTACAAATTTTATATAGCATTTTGTTACATTCCAATTGTGCAGACAAGGCGCGTACAATTAATTGTTCCGATAAGACTCATAATTGATCAGATACATACATGGGACTTAAATGTTCAGTTTCAATGGAACATTTGCGGTTTACAACCGTGATTAATATATCGGCGAATTTTCTTACGATTATGGTGATATCAACTCAAAGCCCTTCCAATAAAACTTTCGTCGACTCTTCGGCTGGTAAGAATTACATGATATTGGCTTTTCTCGCAATCATGTATGGTGCTTGTTAGGTCTGAGATATGCCAAAGGTGTGTTCGGTCAACGTTGTTTATTGTATTACTTGTATATTGCAAATTCAATATTGTGCATTCACATTGCGCGGGAAACGTGATCATGTATTCCATAAATCAAACATTTTGTAAAAGCGTTGTTTATCCAATTCTCTTACTGTACGACCTCAAGAACGATTAAATATTTAATTTGCTATTAAACTTTCGCTAATCACTGACTAAGCTAATCTAAATTAATATAATAGTCACATATTGCAAATCGTTTTTAAAATGTAAGTAGATGTAAGTGGCATTTAGCCTTTAGGGCCCAAAGTTTAGGCAAATCGCATGAACTTCGCGATACGTGTATAATCAAATACGTAAGAATTGGGATTTAGCTATTATAAAATTTTAGTGTATTTCGGAAATGAAGTTTTAGATTTCACTAAATGCTAGTAAATTCAATTTGCAACTGATATTTTGAACAAATTTATAGTTAGTTCTAGTGCACAATACTTGTATGTCCTGGAAACGCCATTATACTCCAAACATTCATTTTTATAATTAAACCACTTGACGTATGGCCATAGTAATTCAGTATATCCTTGAATGAACTCTATCTTTATAAAGTCATCAAAATCGTGAAAAAAAATGACAAAAATTAATTACGAAGAAACGTTCCAGCCGATCTTTACCTATCCCTTATCTCAAGAGATTTTTCAAACAACTTCTAAATATTTAAAATCAGTTCAGGATATTTGGCTATAACGTGGAAGAGAATTTTGTAGATATTTTTCTACTTTCCTGCTAATAAAAAAATGGCTCTACAGATCGTCGCACAAAACTAATCAAAGCAAGTCCGAAAATCAAGCTACATCAAGTGGCTAAATCGGTGCAGTCCTTTTTGAAAAAAAGGGCTTAAAAATTGACCCACACGTACTTCAATTTTAGACTGAAACTATTCAGAATGGCTAGAAAAGTTGAGAAACTATATAATTAGAAGGTCGGATTTTCTGGCAAAAACAAACTTTAATTAAAGCATGTCTGTTATCAAATTAATTAACAAGCCAAAACTTAAATGAAATTTAAATTTGTTGGCATTACGTCTATCCGAGCTTCTAAGAAAATGTATCACCTCTCTCGCAATTCTTTGATTTTTGTTATTAAGTTTAAAGGTTAAATTTTCTTCAAAAAGGAACTTCTAATTTGTAAAAACTTTATATTATTTATTTTAATTATGATTTAATTATAATATTTATATCTCAGAAGTGTTTGGTATTGAGAAATCATACAAATATCTATACATAATACGTATTTAATTTAACCACACGAAATGCAATTAAGAAACAAATCTATTAAATTATACTTTAGTGTTAATTAAAAATTTAATTTTATAGATTTGTTTTCAGTGTCTATATATTGCAACATTTATGCAACTTCATATAGAAGACCGTCGTAAGTTTCTTTTAAATGTTAAGTTCCCTAAGAACACAAACACTATCATAAATCTATCAAAGCCTCTATAAAAGCAAATATATTACTAAAAAGCAATATAACTCCGCTACACGACATCTCGAGAGATACTTTATTAATTAAACTGATTTTAATTCAATTCCTTTGAATCGAATTCATTCAGCAGCAGTATTTGTATTGGAAATGGTTATTTCTGATGATTCGCAATTTCACATTTACTTCGAGCTTCTTGTATCACCGAGGATACTAAAAGGATTTATAAGCTTCGTGTCATTATGTTGTGCTAAAACGTAGATGTAGTTTCTCACGGGAACGTATGAAATGTGATTAATAACAAAATTATCAGCTTACGCATGCATCGACACAAAAGTTAGTGAAAGTTCGACTTAATCAATAGATAATAATCGATGGAATGCTTTTATGGTGGAAACTGTGGAGGACTCTTAATTCATCGCATCGTAATACAAAATATCACAAAAATTTACACCCAAATCCTAACACGAAAAACATAATTATTTGGAACTTGGATTACTGAAACCACTTTTTTAAATAATCATTCACTAAAATTCAAATATAGAATTGATACCCTGATGTATAGATATCTCTTGTAAGATATTAAGTCTAGACTCTTGTAAGTACATTAAGACAAAAAAAAAGTTATTTGAAAGATTTTTGCAAAAAACAGAGTATTATAGGAATGAACAAATTAGAATTATCAATATAGTTGTTTACGTTCTAGTTCATTAATACAAGAGAAACTATCCGAACGCTTTACAAATGAAAATGTTGAATATGACGACGTTCCAATCATCTTATTCAAACGTACTCATTACAGCTCATTTATTTTTCAAATATTTTGTACTTCTTGTAAATTCTTGCATTCATATAAACTTTTGTACACGCACAGGCTGCAAAAAGATGATGTATTATTGAACAATCCGTTGAGTGATGCAATTATATTAAAGAACCGAAGCGTGTCCTTGCATTATAGACAACTTTGTAACACCAATTATTTTAATATCAGTATTTATTATTATCTCTCACTTACATTTGAAATTATTGTAAAAACGTGACGTGCCGGTTAATGCATTATAATCATCAGTGGGAATACCGACTTAAAAGAATCTAAAAACAAAAATGAATTATTTTGTAGAATTAAAGAATAGTACAATTTGTACTGATTTGAGACAAAATATCGATTTTACTTAAATAGTTCAGAGATTGGGTTGAATATTATTAACATATCTGTTTATTATTTTTGCAGAAGTTCAATACTATGAGCCCGATAGAGAACGTGGAGCCCCCGCGGACTGTAGCCTCTCCTGAGGACAGTAGCGAGGGCGCCGAAGGAGCAGCTGATCATCCTCGGGCGGTCAATCCGCGTGCGGACAGATCGCGACAACTTTTCGGAGTGCAACTTGAAGTAAGTGTCAAATATTAATTAATTTATGTTAGTATGTAGATTATAATTTTTGTTATCTCAATTATTTCTTTCAATTCCTTTTCTTTCTTTTAATTCAACATTCTCTCTTCTAATTCTACATTCTCCTTTTTTTCTAATTCTTCTTTCTTTTTTTCTTCCAATTCTTCTTTCTTTCTTTCTTCCAATTCTTTTTTCTTTCTTTCTTACAATTCTTCTTTCTTTCTTTCTTCCAATTCTTCTTTCTTTCGTTCTTCCAATTCTTCCGTCTTTCTTTCTTCCAATTTTTCCTTCTTTCGTTCTTCCAACTCTTCCTTCTCTCTTTCTTCTAACTCTGCATTCTTTCTTTCTTCTCATTCTATATTCTTTTTTATAACACATTTTGTATATATTTGTACTAATATCTTATTTTTTAAATAATTTTTCAAGTAAATATCAACTATTTTTGTACGCAGTTGATTGAAAATTGATTGGAATTCGATCCGAGTACCTTATTTTATGTGACGAGTATTACGTTCTCGTTGACCAAATTACAGATATACTAAATTTTGTAAGAATATGATGGTAATTTTATAAAGACAGGACAGACAAATATCCACAAGCCAATTTCACAAATATTATTACATTATGTTTTGCGTTTCTTGGGATAGGTCATACGTTGCGTTTTCTGGTATAAAATTTTAACTTGATCTACATATAAGAGCTACAATATTTACTTTTACAGGTTTACAGCTTACTAGAAAATTCTAAATGTTTTTAATAAAATTGTCCTATTTCTCCCAAAATCGCATATCATAGGAATGTTTCATATTTTGTTATCATATGCAGCTTTAATTACAAAATAGAGGAGCATAAGCCCCTGAATAATAAGGAATCAAGAATGGATTGTATGTTGAAGTTTTGTGGTATATGATCTTAATTTGATTCAAAAACCAATTCTAGAAATATGTTTCTAATTAAATTGCCTTATTTTTTACAAAACGAAAAACCGTAAAATAATTTTAAATCCTGTCATTACAAGTAGTTTTAAATTAAGTACATAAATAGGAAACAAGACTAGCGAACATTTGGATAATGTTCCACCACTTTTACTTTGATCTCGTATCGTATTTTGTTCCCTTGTAATATTAGTGCAAGTAATTAGGTTAGACAAGTGAATATATGAACTGGTTTATATACTGACTTTAGTGACATGTGTGTCAAGTCTGCCGACAGGCCGGATAGTGTCCAGGATATCCTGGCTACAAATGGTTCTAGACGCAGGAATGCGCTTTTTTATTACAAGAGAACACATGCGATCTCATAACATACGGTGACTTGATTAGAACAAAGATAGGCAGTATATGGTTCTATAGGTAAAAGTATGGCTTTATTTCAGTTGTACTATTTTACCATCTAGAGAATACCAAAAATGCACCGTGGTATTGATGAAAAAATGCATCTTATTTTTGGACAAAGAAAATAGTTTGCAAATATACAAAAACTAAATCATTTTTTGTTTAACAGATCGCAATACGCTCTTCAAATTTTGGTTATACAGAATATCAAAAAATTTCTATTATCGACTTGAGTTCAAGACATTGACAACATTTATCATTCTCTTTCATGCCTACACTGCTTCCATTAGCATAATTTCGTACTTAAATTATTTATTGCGTATCAATTGTATTCATTCAGTTGCAAGCGATTTAATATTTCAGATATTTATGAACAGAATGTTTGCGGTTTCCACCGTGAATATATGATTATACTAAATATGGATTATTTTCTTGCGCTCTAAGTAATTTCCTTATGTTTTATATTCATGTTACAATACAACAGACTGCGAGTATCGGTATTACGCTTGAATTGATAAAATATAACAAATGCATGAGGAAAATGTTTCATGGGTTGTTTTCCGCTTTTTAACTTGATAAATTATTGAAATTTCAAAGCAATGTTTTAAAAATGACACTGTTCACTATTGCATACTTTAGAAAAATTAATTCATTTGGACGTGAAACGTGAAACGATTTAGATAGTTCTAACGCCATTCAATTTGTATTCTTATTGCTCATAGCCTATTGGTAAAGGTAGGTCTGGTAGTTTTATAGATATAGATTAAAACCCAGAAACAAACAATTTCAAAGTATCATTTTTTTCAAAATTAGTCTAGGATAGTTACAGCACTTCGTCTTGAGGTACAATAAGAATATACCTATAATTGTATTGTTATTTAATCTAAGCGTTGATGAAATTTTATAAATGAACTTTTAGGCAAAATTATTATATTTAGGATACAGCAGGGCCTAAAAGTTTGCGGGTTAAAAGGTCCACCACCGTATATATCTCAAAACCAAGTGAAGTAAAGATTTTTTTAACAACAATGTTTGAAAGTAGAGGGCAAAAGATGTAGAACCAGCCATCACCTTTATTCTATATTTTTTAAGTATACTTTATTGAATTGTTTTATAAGATATATTGTTAATTTTACGTAAAATTCAACAGGTTTTTTCATATAACTTCTTACACGAGAGTGGGGTAAGAAGGACCAACTGAACGTTTATCCTGGTAAAGGTGTATACAATAAAAATAGTAAATGAAAAAGTAAAGTAAGGTAAAAAAAGCAATTTTGCAAGAGATAAATTCGACAAATAGTTATTCTGTGAATATTTCTGACAAAATACTAGATCAAGGTTATATACAGTGTTATTTGTAAAAAATTGTATTGTATATTTATATTTTGCATTGGTAAAATAATGTAGCTATTTCATAAAATCCCTTCAAAATTAAAAAAAAGACATTAAATCTGTTCGACGACCTCTGGTTGTCCCATTTTTCCTTGCGTATGGGGTAAAATGACCAGGAGACAAATTTTTGAAAAACAACAAAAAAACATTTCTACAGTGATGAATAAGCTGGGAGTTCTACTGAACATAGTTCAGATAGTTGTTTGTTTGATGTGTTATTTGTTGTGATTTAATTGATTTGGTTTTTACAATATAATTGCTTAAAGTTAGACCTTTGTGTCCCGCCCTATTCTATTAAAAATGAGGAAATTCTGCATCTACCTTACACAGTAAAACCATAATGCTTAATACGATTTCTTGCATTTCGGTCTCTACATTTTGAAACATATTTTCCTATACCGCATATTACGCTTTCTTACTTTAGACTCGTTTTTAACCTGATCCCTGAAAAATCGTCTGAGCGGGATTTTACTGTATTTTTTAAAGCACTCTAATTTATTAAAATGTGTACATTATTACCATTAATATTACAGGTAACAAGTTTGCTTCTGGAAGCTGAGAGACGGAAACTAGCAGTTCTGCAAAGAGAATTGCAGATTTCGTTAGCAGAAGGAGGTTCTATAAAAGCTAAAGAGCAGCAAAAGCAAGAATTGATAATTGCCATCTCGTGAGTATCTCAACTACTAAATTCTATTTATATCAGCCTAGAATGGAATCTAAAAGCGTTGTATTCAACCTATTCATTCAGAAGCAAACCGTACTATATAACGAACACCTTCATAGACTGCGCTGGAAATTGAATTAAGCAATTGTAGGATTTTTTTGAAATCTAGAAAAAAATTGTAACACTATGCATTTGTTATAAAATAATCTTAACGATTCATTAAAATATGATATACTAGTTAAAAATAATATATTGAACACTTTCATATTTATATTGAATGTAAATGCGCCTGGAAATCTACAGTTGTTAACAACTTGCAACACTGGCATGCACGTTGCCTACTATCTAATAGTATCCAGATAGTTGCTGAACAATCTGAGATTCATTATTTATAAACAATTTTTTCAAAATAATAATAATTAGTTATATTCATTTTTTTTTGCTAATTAAATTTTGCTTCAATTTTCACTAACTTTTTGATTTTTTGAATACCAATTTATATATTTGATAAATATGTTAGCATAAAAACAATTGAATATAGAATGAAGACAGTTACGCTATTCATGATATTTAATATTTTTATTTTTATTTATTTAATGTTTTTATTTTATTTTTATTTATTTAATGTTTTTATTTTATTTTTATTTATTTAATATTTTTATTTAATTATGCTACTTATGCTATTTACAATGTAGTTCGTGGGCTAATTCTGCCATAAAATAGACCAATGTTATGGCAACGCTATGTTACTGTACTTTTTTCATATAAAATGGTACTAAAAACTGTCAAAATGCTATGTATTTGCTGTGCAGTCAGGAGTTGTACACATGCAATCTAAATTCTTGCATGTGTTATTATGACACATCGGATAGATGCACTTATGATAATAAACATTTTTGGCATTTGTGTGTTTTCTGGATTAGATTCTATATTTAAAACGCCTGACTACACAGCAAACACATAGGATTTTGAAAGTTTTTAGTACTATTTTATATTAAAAACAAGCAGCGTAACATAGCCTTGCCATAGCATTGATCTATTTTACGGCAGAATTGGCTGATCGATTTCCGTTTCCTAGTAATAAACTATACTTAATTTTACGTTATAGGATAAATTTTTTTTTCAAAAAATTAACAAGCGGTAATCTTTAATCCCAAATAGTTTCTTTTAAGAAAATTAATTTACTAAAATATTATAACTTCTAAGGGCATTTTCGCAATGAGTTACATCATAGTTCCGAACCACTAAGTAACAGGAAGCGCGCGCTAGACGCGCTTGATGCACTTGAACAGTTTCAGCGCGAAAGTGGTTTCTTAAACGGACTCCTTGTTATTAGAAAGTTATTGTTGGTATAGTGTGGGCAACCACTATTTTTTATTTTTTATTTATCAATTTCAGGCGAATACAAGCACAACATGGCCATTTGGAGAAGGAGTACAGACAGCATGCCATAGGTGTATTACGCAGTTCCAACACGAGGGGAATCGGCAAGGCAAGTCATCAGTGCTAACACGTGTTTGTCAATTTAGTTAATATTTTAATACTATTGTGTTACTTGTATGTTTTACCAACGCAGTTTGCAATAGTGCATATTTCATTGTGCTTCGTTAAAAAGAAGCTGAAGTTAAACGTGACTTAAATATTATTAGCATTTAAAATTATTTAATCAACAAGTTGCTAAAAATAATAATTTTGGCCGTATTAAAACAAAGAAACATCACTATTTGAACACCATTGCATCATAATTTTCTATTTCATTATGTGGTGATAAACAGGTCTCAGAGCTTTTTATTCATTTTGACAAAGTTTATCACTGACGCATTAGAATCACGTTTTGAATAGAACACTATTAGGTATATGCTTGAAAGACTTGTTTTTGCAAGGGTTTAAGTTGTTTTTGTTATGCTATGCTACTAAACACGCGTCTTAGACAGCAGCTTGTGAGGTTATGAGCTTTTTATCAGAGGGGTTGGTTTCGGCGATCGATATAGAGACGGCAGCCACCCCTCGCTATGGTGCCCTTCAGCGCCTCGATGCGGCGCGAAACCCAAACAGACAGAGCGAAAAGGGGATAGTGACCGCTTGACATATAATAAACATACACTGTACACAAGACAGTGCGGCAAAACAAAACAATTGTGCGGTGTTCCCGTCAAAGTTTTGAGAAATTCGAATATGTGATCGTTTAATGAATGTGACAGTGTGTGAGACATGCCGCAGAAACAGCAGCAAAATGCGTCGAACTGTCAAAATATCGGCGCGAGGTCGTCGAAACCCGCCGTGCCCGCGAAACCGTCGATAATACCGCCTCCCCCATGCGGCGCTAATAAAACTCATCGTGCCACTGCCCTAACCACGCCTAAGCCGCTCGAACACGGCTCGCCGCACATAGGATGCTGCGCCAACGATTGCTGCGGCATGCTGCCGTCGGCGAAGAAAGATCACGCCGCCTGCTCCAACAAACAAAGCGCAAGCACGGCAGCCGCCGACCACGCACAAAGTTTCGAACATGCAAAGCGCCTGCTGCAGCAGGAAAGCATTGACAGTTCGGTATCCTCCAGCTCAGGAGGATTCAGAGAAGCAGCAGAATGCAGGTCGTCCATCAGAAACGCTCCGCACTATCAACAATTGGAGCAAGCTTTATTGGCACAAAAACTTGATAAGGATAAGAGACAGAAGAGAAATTCACAGGTGGCTACTGGAAGCGGTAGGCAAGCGCAGACCTGCGCCGACATCATGTCGCAGCACGTGAGCACACTCCAAAGACAAATACAACAAAAGTTACAGGAAGAGATGAAGCAGCAATGTAGAAATATCCAAGAGAAACATCTGATTGAACGAAGGCCACCACAACAACCCTTTCGACCATCTGATGCGGTAGTTACTCATTTGACAGTTTATTTGTTATTTTATTGAAGATTTATGTAACTTAATGCTGCTACATTTTTAATACGTATTTTCACTATGTTATATTAGTTGTCATCTTAATCTTAGTATAACTTTGAATGCAAGACATTTATTAATTTATTAATTTTTTCAACAGAGTAATCGAAGTCAGCCTGCAATTGGTCTAAAACAAACTCCGAAAGCTCGGGTAAGTTTTTACACATTTTTGTTAAACGTAATAAAACATGTCAACACTATTATTTCAGTTAATGTAGTAACTTATGAATCGTATTGATCAGTTATGACATTAAAAACGAATAGAAAATTAATAATTCACAATTAAACGAAATGGGGTGACGTTTGGGAGCTTATTAATAGACAAGGAAATTGGAAGATGAAGGCAACAATGGAAGTGGCAATTTATAATTTGTTATTACCTAAACTGGAAGAATGAAAAAACACAACAGCAATTTAATCGTTTGAAAAAAATCTTCAGGTTATTTTTCTTCGATAAAATAAAATAACCAGCTTTTTAAAAAAAATGCTATTTATCAAAAGCTATTATACTAAATACGATGGAAAGTGTGCGTTCCTTTTCGATCGAATTTCCAACACGCAAGTCTCCAGACTTGGTAATGTTTAAAATTAAAAAAAAACGAATGTGTAATTATTACGATGACAGATCGTTCGACGCATTTGCGATTATTACTAGAGGGACGACGATGTTGTCGAAAGCAATTCAAATTTTTTTAATTGAAATCCTTGATGTGTGAAAAAATTAGTTTATTAACGTTCTCTTTTAATAACTATAATTGATATAAAACATCAATTAAAATGTACAATATTAGGCTAAATAAAGTTATTAAATGAAATATTAAATTAAATTAAATTTTTGAAAATTTTGAAAAATTGTAATTTGTTTAGGACAAATAAGTTTGTTTTGTTACACAATAGAATTAGTTTTTAGTACAGATTTCCTAACAAATTTTATAATTATTGAAAAAAATTTATATAACTCTTCGAATACTACTTGCTTTTGCTTCGACATTACATTGTGTAATGGGTAATAATATCGTGAACAACAACTAAGTCGGAATAAATAATCGCAATAAACTAATAATAAACTTGACGATTATATCAAATTTTATTGCTAATATATTCTATTTCTGTACAATTACTATTGATGACCGAAGTGTCTTATAATTACGATTGTATTCATGAACTGATATCCAAATTATGTTATCAGAAATCGTATTTGACTAAATTTAATGCGTCCTATTGAAATATTTATAACTAAAATTTGTATGTAATATATTTAGTGGTATACTATTTCATTATATTTACGTAATATTATAAATTCTCTTACGGGATTATATACAATAGTTTAAGTACTAGACATAAATAAACAATTAAATTTAAAGTGTACCCAATTTAATAAATTTTAGCATCACATTTTTTTTATCTCTAAGTTCATCTATTTATATATTGAAATTTCAAATATTTCAAGACCTAAAAATGCATTTCAATCCAGCAATGCAACTAACGTGCCATACCAACAAAAACTTCTAGAAGAAGAAAAAATACCCAAAAGGCTTATTAGAATTTTTTGTTTTACTAATAAAAAGTATCAACTGCCAGTGATATTTTTTCATTGGAGAAGCCCTCTAAACCTTAAAAAAATTATAAATCATAGAAATTAAAAACAAAAAAATTAAAAATTTAAGAGAAAAAAAAATCATTTGACTGTAAGTGAAATGATATTACATATATTGAATTATTATAGAAATGTATTATATTACGATTAGTATTCGAAGACTATATCATTCGACAATGGTAAAATATACGGTATTTAAGTTTGAGTGAAGTAGAATTTGTTTTGGATTGATTATGATATTAAAGAACAACTAAAACATGAATGTAATATTTTTGCGAATATGATGTGCAATATAGCCAAAATGTTTTTTTTATTATTTTTGAACAGCAATCAGAACTTAAGAGTCTGATAAGCTGTTGGGCTAATTTGACTTAATACGACATCGGTTTTACAGATGGCAACCCAAACAGTTGTTTAGTGTGATAAATTTTATTAATAAAATTTATATAATTGGGCGATAATTTTATTGATGCAGCAATGCCGAATGAGGGCTACTTTTACTTGAAAACATATTGCTATCTATATTTCCAAGTGGAAACCTATGTCACTACTGCTTGACATCAGGCTCTTCGAAACGGGATCGAAACCTTGTTTCGGGGAAGAACATTGTTTCAGGTCCAGTCACCACTTACCCAGGAGTGAGCCTTAAAAGACAAAATATGATATTCTTTTGAGAATTTTCAAGTCCTTAGACGTAAAAAGCTGACTCTAAACTCAATTCAATAACTGAAGCTTATAAAGTAAACCCATGCTCGCAATCTACAATATCGACAGAACTAACAAGTACTCAACTAGATACAATCTCCTCGGTACGACTTTCAATTCGATTCGTACTACAACCGAATTTTTCTTGTTTTATTTTTATTATTATTAATGAATGAGTGCTCGTATACCAAGAATGGGAACTGGATGAGATATGTTATCAATCTACGCCCACCAGAGCAGTCGAGATCGTTTGCAGACTTAAATCGTTTTTATACCACTGTGTATACCTCGATATTTGACGTCATTTCTCTAGCGTGCATTTAATCGAGATGACGCAGAACGCAGAACGCAGATTTCATGAATGAGTTTCTTACTCATAGCTTATTATTGATATTTTATCGGAGGGTAATTATAATTTAGTGTTGCAGCCAAGGGCAGGATAAAAATTTCAAAACATATTACGACATTCTGATATATTAGTATAAATTTCTCGAATTTTATTCTTAAACCTACTCTATGTGGACTCAAATTTCTAAAAAAAAGTTTGTATTCAAAATTTCAATAGTTTTTAACAAATAAACGATTCCTACTTTTTCTACTTCAACCACGTTACATTACAGTTAAATATTCAAACAAAAGATCATTATTAATCAGTTAACAGAGATTGACAAGTATACTCGTCATGCCTATAATTGTTTGACCATTGGCTATTTTTGAATTCCAGTTTGTGAATAAGAGATATAAAACACATTCTAAAATTTTAAGATATTTTGAAAAATTTGAGTCTATGCTGGTATATAACAAAAAGTCCAGTTTAATGAGCGCCCTGTAGTTGACTGATTAAATCAATATTATACTTTTTTTAAATTAATTATTAATCAGCCAAAAATATTTCTTTACCAAATCTCTAGATCACCCTAAAAGGAAATGGGACAGGTAATAAATTATATAAAAAGTATCAATAAATAAAATTTGAAGAATAATTTACTAATTTATTAGATTTATAGGTATATAGTTTTGTTATTAGTCATTTCAAAAAATCTAGTTTTTTTACTGAAAGTTGTTAATAACTGAAGATCTTGTAAATTTTTAAACCAATGATTTTTAAAAACGCCGAACTTAGATACGCGAGTTGTAGCTTTAGTATAATTTAATACGTATCGATCATTATTAAATCAATTTTATATAATTATTTTTTAAAAATTAGTCAATAATCTGCCAAAAAATACTTTTTTTATCCAATTGCTTTATATCTCCCTAATTGG